TCCACCTTGTCCTGATCCGAAGTGCCTTCCAGCCTCCAGGTGGGACCTGGGGATCCCCTGGAATTACAGCTGAACTCCAGATTACAGCAATCAGTTCCCCTGGAGGAAATGGCAGTTTTGGAGGGTGGACTCTGTGGCCCCCAGACCATGCTGAGAGCCTGTCTGGTGCAGCGGTTAGGAGCGCAGACTCTATTCTGGGAGGACCGGGTTTGATTCCCCACTCCTCCTTCACATGCAGTTGCTGGTGTGATCTTGGGTCAGTCACAAGTTCTCCCAGAGCTGTTCTCTCAAGGGCAATCCTCGAAAGAGCTCTCTCAGCCCCACATACCTCACAGGCAGCGTTCCCTCTAAGCTGAGTTAGTGTGAGCTACCTCACAGTTACTTAGCCTCCGGCTCACATATTTTTGTCTCAGCTCAGGAAGGATGGCTCCAGAGCAAACTAATTGATGCAGTAGCCGAATCACTCACTCACAACTTGAATGCCAGTAGCTCACAAAGTAAAAAAAATTCTCACAAGACTCCACAACTTAGAGGGAGCATTGCTCACAGGGTGTCTGTTGTGGGGAGGGGAGGGGAGGGGAGGGGAAAGGAGATTGTAGGCCGCTCTGAGACTCCTTCGGGTAGCAAAAGGCGGGGTATAAATCCAATCTCTTCTTCTGAAGCTCTGACCCTTCTCAAACCCCACCTTCTCCAGGCGCCACCCTTCAAATCCTCAGGAATTTCCTCATCCGTAGTTGGCAACCCCTCTCAAAAGTCTTTGATCGGGACCATTTGCAAATATCATCCCCATTCAAAGAAAGATCCCGGCTCAAAGAAAATACCCCATTCAAAGAAAGCTGCCTTGCTTGGAGAGCTGTTTTTACATCCTAACTTTTGATGTGTGGCTTGGGAAGGCAATCGACGATAGCGTCGCACGGCCGCCGGGCAGTAGTGGATTTGGACCTCTGCCATCTTTTAAAGTTCACTGCTCAAAGAGCATCCATGGCACTGAAGGCTGTGGCCAATAAGCAGCTCAGATGGCCAATAAGCAGCTCAGATGGCCATAAAATGGGACTAAAGGTATTAACGGAGGGAAGGCC